CCCGTTTTTGCTCATTAAATTTTATTTTCACACTTTTCCACAAACGAATCAGTCAACCCCTTGTTAAATCAATTGTATAATGTGTCAGGCCTTACAATGGCAATACAACCGTTTGGTAAGTGAAGGACAAAAATACCCTCTCTCACTTTCATATTTTCACAATATTGTCAACTTTGTCAAAAAGGTTGGGGGTAGTATTGGAATTAGTGGCCTAGATGGTAGGGATTAAAAAATTGAGAATTCAGTAGCCACCTGCAGAAACGTACACATCTTCAAGTTCATATGTCAGTGGGTCCCGCAGCCTACTATTTTTGACCAACGAAAATGAAATTTAATGCGCAAAAACGGGGGCCAAACAGGGGCTAAAGAAGCAACAATTTATTTAAAAATAATAATTACAGAAAATAATCTGAATGAGAAATATGCTCTCTCTCATTTTAACTCTTTTAATTTGGATGCACGTTAATGATGGAAATACCATAATCTGAATGAACCCCTAAAAATTTTATAGCTCGTGACAAGTAAAGTTTGATTGAGTCAGCACATTTCTCAAAAAGTCTTTCCACCACACGAAAATAGGAGAACCCTCCCTATGTTTATTTCGAACACTATCCAAAAGAAGGGTAATCAAAAGAATGATTTACGTTTAAAGCTACAAGAAAGTGTTTGAACATGTCAATTATTATACGTTCACAATCTAGGTCCAACATGATAAGACAATACTTCGCATTAGCCATAGTATCTAGTATCCTAATTGCCGTAGCATTGTGCTCGTGAGAAATGCAAATGATGATATAATCGAGGAAAAATATCTCACATTATTTAATCAAAGAAATGGGGATCGGGTGTTGTGATGCAGAATATTTCATCAATGCAAGAAACAACTACGACTTGTATAGCAAAATCATAATGTCTTAATAATTTATTTGAGACCAATGCTTTGCTAAGTGTATTAATAGATGTTAGGATGGAAACAACTGGCAATTGGTCCAATTGTGAAGCAAATACTCAGTGTATTCAAGTAACAATAGGAGCTTATTAGAAGACAATGAAGATTGAAGAAGTTTTCTTCCATTTGTTAACAAGTGGACTCCTAACGTTTGGTATTTATGTCTTAACATTTTTTTTTTAATTCTTAAAATTGACAAGTCAAAATACTAAAATAAAAGTACATGTTCAATATAATAAAATTGTTACATCGCGAGACTCAAAAGAGTCCAACAAGGCCCCAATCATGATTTTCCATTTGGCACTGCTACGGTGACAAGGCGGCAACTGAATCATTTGAGAGGCCGTCGAACAACAAGAATAAAAATTCACTGCAATTAACGTTAGAAAATTATGTCTCTTTTTTTTCACACTTTTTTCAAACATTTTTTTTTCACTCTTTTTTCTCTCTCTTTTTTGGTTTTTTAACTAAAAGTAAATTACAAAAATAGGGGCCCAAGCCAAGGCCCAATTACACCAATCAAATTAACTTACAAAATTGAGGCTCAAATTTAAACTAAAAAAAAAAAATTACAAAACCCTAAACCGAGCCTACGTAACAATCAAGTTAACCCTATTCATCTAAAAAAAAAAACCCGAGGCCACAATTGAGACCCAAAATATGGAGGCTGTCACTTTTTGTTCCTCTTCCTTCTCCCGCTACATAGTGGCGGCAATCGAGCCGAACGGTACGGCTCATACTATAGCAACCCACGAGTCACTCAGACTCGTCTTTTGAAGAGCCTGAGCCTGAGCACGAGCCAAGCCTGCTTGGCTCGTTAGGCAGGCGAGTGCTCGTGGGCTCGTGAAAAAAAATAAAAAAACTAAGAAAAACTAAAAAAATAATAATAATATTTAACAAGCCACGAGTCGAGCACGAGCTCTTGGGCCAAGCCGAGCTCGCCCATGAGCAAACGATCCACGAGCCACGAGTCGAGCCGAGCTTGTGGCTTTAAAGGCCGAGCAAGCTCGGCTCGACCCATTGACATCTCTACTGCTACTCCTTCTTCTTGGCTACGAGACTGCTCCTCTGTGACTTTTTTTTAGAGCGTCGAGCCGACGTCTGTGGCGATGGAATTAGGTGATGAGGGCGGTTGAAGGTGTTATAGTGAGCCGATTGGGCGAAGGTGGTTTTGTGGCTGTTTCAATTGGGTAGTGACGCGAAATGGTGGTTATGATTGTAATTCCGAGGAAGTTGAGATGATTGGCTACGTTTGGTAATTTGTCGACAAGAGGTGTAGTTTTTTGCGGTGCGTAAGGCAGAGTTGGGACCAGTAAATTTTGGAGTTTAGTAGTACTGTGGTTTTCAATTTTGGGACCAGTAGCTGGTATTGGTTTTGGGTGGGACAGCAGGCGACGGTCGACGGGTTGATGAAATCTAATGATAGTGGATTTAGCTGAGTTGGGCAGATTTGTTGTTGAGAACTAAAGCAGGACTGTTGAATGCGAGATGCTGTGACAGTTAGTTATGGTAGCGGAACAGATTGTTGGTTTTGCCTGTGGTGGGATTGGTTGTTTTTCAAATTATGGTGGCAGTGAAGAATTCTCAAGTTTAGCTCTGATACCAATTTGATGTAGAACGAATTAGAATTTTCAGCCAAGAACTTAGAAGAAAAGAAGAAGAAGAAAACAAGGGAAAAGATCGGGAAAGAAACAGTGAAGGGTGAGAAAAAACGTGTAGCCGCCAACTTTAATTTTCATTCAATCATTCGTTAATTCATCTACAATGAAAATCCAATAAATAGCAAAAAACCTAACTTGAAGGGCTTGACCAACCCGCTACTATAAGCCCAATAATAGAAAATATAAATGATAAGTCCAATAACAGTAAAAATTAAATCTCGGTCTCGATGATGTCCTCATCAAATTCCTTTTTACAGATAATAATTATGAAAATCAGAAAGCAGTAGGCAACAAAAACCAAAACTTCCACTTCATAGCATATGCACTTGTGAAAGTTTCACAAGTATCTAGTTACATTAGTTTTCATATGGGTGTCAAATAGAAATACTAGCCTACATAATTGAATGTTGAGAATGCAAGTAAATATTCTGGATATACAATGCACTAACATATAATAACTTCAATTCATTCACCTGAAAATTCAGCTAATGCATTTCTACATCATATAATCTGGAAAATGAAGATTGAAGAACCTAAACTGCAGAAGTTTCAAGAAGCAGTCTTGTTTAACAGTAGTTTGGATGTCAAATTCAATATAAACATGGTTAGCAAATTTACAAAATCAAACATCTGAAACCTCTTGATGAAGCTTCCTATGCCTACGATGAGATCGTTTCTGGATGCGTCTCTGTCTTTTAGATAATGTGCCGGACGTGTCAGGGTGAGGAATCTCCTCTACCCTTGCAGGAAGCCCGAAAATGCAATCAAATGGATTTTCCATAGCATCAACAGTAGCATTCATCTAGAATTAAAGAAACCCAGTGAGAAACTCAGTCACTTTGTAAAGTTTCTTTCATTTCATCATTGCCTTATGACAAAAGGATCAGCATAGACATGATTTATCGAAGCAAAAGGAAGGTGATATGCATATCATTTGCCAAATAAATGCATATGTTCATTTTTTTTTTCTATTTTCTAATTTTTGAGATCATAGAAGAAGCTTCAGTAGCGACGTATGTATGCATGCCAAAACTATTTTTTTTGTAACATCTTAAAATACATTTCCTAGAGTACATTGCATTCAGTAGGATAAGAGATTCAGCATATCTACTCACGTAATTTTTTGGGGCCTCCCTACTAGACTTCTTGAGATTATTTTTCTCTGTATCAGTTTCCTCACTATTGGACGTAGTTTGAGGATGCGCAACATTATCTCCAAAATAATTCCGGAAACGCCACCTAACCTTTGGCTGGTCTGCTAATGAGTCATCATAAACTTCCTCCGAGTAGAAATGTTTAGAGAGACGTTCCATCACCCAAGGATCACGGTGATACTTTTTCAACATTCTACCATGTCAATGCATTACCAATCAGAATAAACAAGAAAAATGTTTAATGACAAACATACTTATAAACATAACATTGTCAATGGAAATTAACGAGAAAATCTCCATCGAGTTTGAGAGTAAATAGCCACTATCAATTAGGAACCTTTTTCCTTTTATAAATAACATAGGCAATGTTCTCTTTTCTACAATTTCTGGGTCTTTTTCCTTTAGTGGGGTGGGTTAGAGTGGAGTCCAGGCATTGAGTTCGTTTTATTGAGGTCATAAGAACTCTAGTGAACTGGTATAATTCAGGAAAAGGATGGCTCATGTTTCAATTCTCACAACCTAGACAATCGTAGTCAGACGGAGCTGAATAAGTATACACAAAGTAATGATTGATCCAGATGGTAGAGCAGCTAGTAGAAGATCAAAGACCTAGTCATTCAGCATTGTTATGTTAGTTAATCTTCCAGTTCAAATTGATGTCGGTCATCCTAGTTGCTAGATTTGAATCAAGAAGAAAATGAGATCAGAAACTAGTTGGTTGATATTGCAGAAAATCAATACAGCTTGCACTTGTTCTGGTTGAACTTCTTGATTGTACAACGGACTGATAGTTATTACAATTAGTTACTATTGAAAGAGTCCACGAAGATCACTAGAATATATGAAATCAATTATATAACACTGGTTGCTATGTTAGCTCTAAGCTTAGATTCCTTCTTATTAGTTTCGCCATTTTTTAAATTTTGATGCTCTTACAGACTCATTTATTTTAATAACCACAGATAGTGTCTCAAATGAAGAGTTTAATGCAGATTAGGCTGGTAAGTGCGTACACATTTGCCAACTCCCTTTGCATCCGACTTCCCTCCAAGGAAAGAATATGTTCAATGCAAGAATCAAGTGACCTACCAAATTTCCATAATCCACAAATAGCAGCAGCTCCTACATATAGATAATCAACTAATAAATCAATCTTTCATTCTGTAGAAATAAAAAGTGGCCTTAGCAAATTAATATAGAAATTTAAATATGTAGGAATATGCATTAACAGATGCATATTTGGACTTGTCTCACACTCGCTTATTTTCTTTATCATTATGCAGACAAGTGTCTTGAAAGAGATTCCACGATTTATAAATGTGTTTTGGATAGAGTTCCACAATTTATATTTGATGCTGGTGAAAGACAGCATCTTACTACAGTATCAGATCCATGCCCTGGATCATATTCACTGCATTCGTACAATTTTAGAAATTAAGATACTAGTTTGTTTTAATACTGATCATAAAAGCGGGAATAGTTACACAACAGGAATAAAGCAAACTTAGTAAAATGAAGAGAAAAACATGTATTCATATTCTTGAGTTCCCCAGATTGATTCAAACCATTCCTATCAAGAAGTAAACTCATTACAAAGCCAAAGCAAATGATTGACGATTAGGCAATAATTGTCATACTTAAAATATAAGTTTCTCTACATGAATGAATATTTTAGGCAATGCAATCCATTTAAGTTACAATAATACTACAAATACATGGAAAGAAGAAGGTGAACTTGCTTTAGCATACTAGTGATCAACGTTAATAGTGAGATGTCATGCAATTAATACTCCCCAGTCCCCACACACAATTCTGAATCTTTGTAAGCAGGCATCTCTCTATGAGAACTGCGATTATACATATAATGTAGTACAACTTCGCTTCTGGTTGTCGCTTTCTTAACACATTATGTAGCTTATTTCTAGGGCTCTAAAGACTATGCCTAAAGATAAAGAACACTGAAGGAAGTAGCACAGTGCACATCTCTCTTATCTTTTCCAAATAATGGTTATAATTCAACTCATGTTGTCACGAAAGAGAATTAAAACGACCAGGCACTTAAAATAGTATCTTCAATTTTTCTTTACTAAAGATCCACGAGTTATATTAGAACATTGATATACAAATATTCATGTAGATCAACATAAAAGGACGAACGATGGCAACAATGTCACTTACCCAGTGTAAGGTTAAAGCGAAATAGATTACCTAGCCTTTGGGTTGCTGCAAAAAAGAATAAAATAATTTAGTTATGCAATTATTCGTTACCATGGATCATGGGACAAACTAAAATAAAAAACTAAGTCTCATTCCAAATACAATTGGAGTCTGCACCAGAAATCCTTTTGGCCATTAGCGTCAATTAGAAAATCAACAATACACAAAGTCAAGCATTCATGTATGGGAGAAAAGTCACGCTCATGTGAAATAGGTGCTTGGAAATTTTGACAATGCCCATATATACCCTTGGCCTTACATGCACAAAGTAATTTCAACTCTTATCAGCATCATGATGATTTTAAATTCCACGTTACACCTAACAGATTCTACCAAAGATCAGAATTTTTTTTTTTTTTTTTTGTGATAAATAATCAGAAAATTTTATTAATCAAAAGAATACACAGGAAGTGTATTATCAGTTTATACAAGAAAGAAAAAATATGAAGTTGGCAGCCCCACTATAGGGCTGCTAGTTGCTGCATTAAACCAAGTATACAAAGTCACGTAAAATTAGGGATTTCATTTATATTGTACAGTGTATTTATTTCCTTGTTTAGCTATGTAATGCAATATATATAGAAGGCCAAAACAGGCTGAATGGGCACTCGAAAATTCACAAAATTAGTCTCGTTTGACATGGTATCAGAGCCCTAACCTTTCTATCTCGAGAATCTGGTTCAGTTTTGGGCGAAATTTTGTTGGGCGGCATCTCGGTTTCATCATAGTCATCTCGGTTTCATCACAGTTGGCTNACCCGAATTTGCACCACATACAAATCCATTAGAAACACTGCGTAGTCATCCAATTCTTAATCCTGCAAATCCCTCTGAAAAGTGATATTCCAGCTGTAACTCCCACCGTGGATGGCTAAAACGTCATTCACCACAGCAGAAGGCATCATAATAATGCGATGTAAGGAAACCCCAACTTTAGCGGTATATCTCCACACCAACAATCATTCCAAAATCTGATATTATTACCATTTCTCACCACAAAAGTCAAGCTATTCCGAAAGTCATTCCATCCTCGTCGAATATACCTCTATAGACTCACCCCGTAAGACCCACAACCCCTCACTCGAACACCATCCCCCCTCCATCACTCCATACTTCGCCCCAATAATTTCTTTCCAAAAACTCTCCCTCTCCACACCAAAACGCCATAGCCATTTGCCTAATAATACCTTATTAAACAAAGTAAGCCTCCTCAATCCGAGACCCCCATCCTCATAAGAGAGCAGACAACTCCCCATTTAACCAAATGAAGTTTCCTCTCCTCTCCCAACCCTGCCTAAAGAAATTCCCTTTGAATATTCTCTAATCTGTTAGCCACTGCAGCAGGAATAGGAAACAGTGACATAAAATAAGTAGAGATATTTGAAAGAGTAGATTTAACGAGAGTAAGACGGCCACCCTTCGAAAGATACATACGCTTCCACCTCGCTAACCTCTTTTCCACCTTCTCCACAATAGCATTCCAAATATTAATATTTTTAAACTGCGCCCCTAAAGGGAGTCCAAGATATGACATAGGTAACTGCGCAACCCTACAACCCAATATAAAAGCTAGTTCCTCCACATTAGTCACCTCCCCTACTGGAATAACCTCAGATTTTCCCAGATTAACCTTCAATCTTGACACCGCTTCAAAGCATAAAAGCAACCTGCTTAAATTCCTAACTTGCTCCTCAAACGTGTCACAAAAAATCAGTGTCATCTGTAAATAACAAGTGGGACACCTGCAGCTGACCCACTGTAAATCCCATAAGGAGATTCTCCCGCCTCGCTTTCTCGAGCATCTTACTGAGGGCCTCCATTACAATAATAAACAGTAATAGAGACAATGGAACCCCTTGCCTCAACCCTCTGCTACTCCGAAAGTAACCATCGGGGGTACTGTTGACTAACACTGAAAATGAACCAGTAGGGATACAGATTTGAATCAACTTACACCACTTATCCCTAAATCCACATCTTCTAAGCATATACAGAAGGAACCTCTAGTTCACATGATCATAAGGCTTCTGAATATCAAGCTTGCATAGCATCCCTGGGACCCCTAGGCACAGTCTTGAGTCAATGCATTCATTCGCTATAAGTACAGAATCCAAAATCTGATGACCTTTCACGAAAGCATTCTAAAACTTAGACACCACTTTCCCTAGCACCGCCTTGAGTCTATTTGCCAAAACTTTTACAATAATCTTGTACACCCCACTGACCAAGCTAATAGGGCGAAAATCCTTAATATCAGTTGCTCTCGATTTCTTAGGGATCAGCACAATAAATTTTGCATTAGAACTTCTCAGAAACTTGCTACGCTCAAAAAAGTAAGTGAAAACATCAATAATATCCTGTTGCACCACCTCCCAACACGCCTTATAAAATGAGAAAGAGAACCCGTCCGGTCCTGGAGCCTTGTCATGGGTCCCAATATCCTGTGGATCCTCATAAGTAACTCCATCTACCTCCAGCACTGTGATAAAATTATTCCGCTTGTTAGAATTGGCAACCCTATGGAAAAACTTAGTACATTTGTCTCCCTTTTTCAATCACGTGACCCTAGATTTCTGACTCCAAGCAATCCCCTCCATTTCCACCAAACTCACTAACCCTGCCCTTAATACTCCACGTCTCTCCTTCTCCTCCCCATCCAACCCTCGCCTCTCCTCTAGCTTATCCAGCTCTTCTATGTCTGAAAGGCACTGAACTTTACGAAAGTTCACATTGCCCACCACCTCCTCATTCCACCTCTTTAAATCCCTTTTTAACGCCCTCAACTTATGATCTAACACATAACCGGGAGACCCCTGAAAATCATAAGAAGCCCACCAATTCCGTACTCGCTCCCCAAAACTTTCTACTTTTAACCACATCTTCTCAAACCTAAAAGGTCATAATCCACTACCCCTATTATTCCCAGATAACAAAATAGAAAAATGATTAGAGTACACCCTCCCCAATCTCCTATGAGTAGCATCTGAGTACTTAGCCTCCCACTCTCTACTAACCAGGAATCGATCTATACAAGATAGAACATGTTGGTCCCGATTAGATGACCAAGTAAAGTCTCCCCCAATCATAGGCATATCCACTAACATATTCTCCCTAATAAAATCCGAAAAATCCTCTATAGCCCCAGTTAGTCTCCCACCACTCGACCTTTCAGTAGGAAAATGAACCATGTTAAAATTACCCCCAATGCAAGTTGAAAGATTCCACCAAGCCATCATACCAGTCAACTCATCCCATAAGCCCCCTCTACTCTCATCTAAATTAGGACCATAAACTCCTATAAATATCCACTGGAATCCCTCCCCAATATTCCTAAATGAGAGCGAAAGCGAGTATGACCCTACACTAACCTCCTCCATATCATAAACTCTAGTGTCTCACAAGATAAACATGCTTCCTGATGCCCCCGATGACCCCAAAAACTGATATCCTACATGTTGTCTCCCCCCATAAGCTACTAACCACAGCTCTCGAGACAAACTCCAACTTAGTTTCTTGCAAACAGACAAGTTCCGCCCTCCATCCTCTTAACACATTTCGAATACCTAACATTTTCCCAGCCTCATTAAGCCCCCTCACATTCCAACTAATAAGTTTTGGAGTCATTTGAACGCTCCGTCATCTCTCCCCAACAATACTTTCCTAGCCTCGCCACCCTTAGCATCGTAATTTACTGACCATTCAATCGCCCTTCCTTCTAGCTTTGCCTCCTTGTGTACTCATCTCCTGTCCCCTACTAGTCTCCAAATCATCAAATAATTGTATGAGTTTACTTTCATATCCATCACAGGACACTCCAACCAACTTACTAAAATCCTGCATTTTTTTAAGGACCCAATTTGAAGGTTGGGGTCCAGCTTCAATTCCCCTTCGTTGTTTCCTCTACATGACAATGCCCCAAAGGTTCATACGAAAATCCCTCAGTTTCCTCCGCATGGACAACCTCCTCGCCGATCCCCCCTCCTAGCCGCCATTAACCCACAACACTAAAGCTTTCTCAGTCCCTAATTCTATTTCATTTAGGGACTTAAAGTGTCTTCTGTTATATGTGTTCCCAACCATAACTACCGCCTATACCTCATTGTGCTCTTTCAGGACTGTCACCTTCCGATTTGTTGCGGACCCCGAAGCTTTCTCATCCGTATCCAATTGCACCACCTCGATCCCGTCGTCATGTCCGGAATATACTGCTTCAAACCATGCCTGATATGTGCAATTAGTCTTAGTCACCCTCTGCTTGTCTTTAATATGAGCCACATTCGGTGATACCTCCTTAGTAACCAAGCTCGCTATTTGAGTGTCGTTAGCTAGGGGCTCATCCACACCAACCCCACACTTATGACAATAGAATATCCTGGGACTCCCCGCAGACCCACATCCTAGCCTGATTAAGTAATCCAACTCGTCTTTCAACGCCTAGATGCGGGCCCCTATTTCAACACTGTTCAATATGCCACCATGTGAACCTTCTGCATGTCTCCCCGTAAGCTTAGGCATCAAAAGATGATCATCATATTCCCTCACCTTATACATCCTGTCATTACGCATTAGCCCCCGTTGATCAACATTACGCAATGTCTGTAAGTTAGCCGTCGCTTCGGCATAAGTCATCCCTTGTCTATTTCTTTCATCCATCGTTCGGCGTCTAACCTTATCTCTCGCAACAAATGAATCGACAACCACCTTAAACACCCGCGTAAGTGTTGCCCATTCCTCTCCATCCACACTTTCCAGAACCATCACAACTCCCGTCCGACGCTTCTCTCCATACTGAGCTATCGTCAAGTACTTGCCACGGCTATTCGCACAACGTCGTGCCAAAAAAGCCCGTGGTGACTCAGTGAACTTGGATACAAATTCCTCCGACTTGCTAGCCGTTTTCAACTTATCCACCATATTTACCATCCATAGTGCACCATACCTTCCCATATAGATAGCAGTTGACATCCTCGAACCCCACTCTATAATCCTAACAGTACCTGATTCGTTGACAGACACCTCAAACTCCTTCGTCTCAACTCTGAATTGCTGATTAAACAGCATACCATATACATCCACTCGCTTGTTCATTCGATTATGAAGAAACGGAAAATTTGATGACAAAATAGGAATGCTGATGAGACTGGGAATGTTCTGCTGAAATTTCTGCTTCTCCGGCGACGGTGTGTGGGCCACTCGCGCCAGCAGGTCCAGTGCCGGAGCGGCGAGTGGTCCCTCCGGCGTCGGAAATGTCTGCACAGGGCGCTGATCAGGCGCGCCTGCCAGACCGATGACCGGAAAGTGGTGAATCTGGGTTTCGATCCCTGAATGCGTCACAGTCTGTCCTTCAGTAGGGTTCAGGTAACTATGAGGCGTGAGGCCGGTAGGGTTAGGTTTTCCTGCAGTCTCGTCGACCAAAGGGGAAGGTTGTTGGGTGTTGGGTGGCTGGGTAAGTGGTGGTGGGGTGTTTTTGGATTCTGGGAAAAAGGGCTCCATACTGAGATATTAAAAATAAAAAAGATCAGAAAATATAATACTAAATAATCAGCTAGTATAATCCAAAGCTCCCTAATGAAAAGTGGTCCACAAAGTAATATTTAAACTATGCAACCCAAATGAAAATGAAACAAGATCAAGACCTGGCTCAAGTGGTAAGAATGAAGCCTTATTAGGCAAGTAAACTAGGTTTGAGTCTCATTTGGGGATGGTAAAATTAAAAAAAAAATGACAATGAAACTAAACTTAGCATCTTTTAAGCCCTAATTTACCATGAATTTCCACTTAATTAATTTCCCTCACCTTCTCGCACGTGCTAAACTCACATATAAATTAATTTTCCAAATAAGTTAGATCAAGAAAATAATCATTTNTTCTCGCACGTGCTAAACTCACATATAAATTAATTTTCCAAATAAGTTAGATCAAGAAAATAATCATTTGTCATATATCCTCTTATTTTAATTTGCAAACCGATCATGAGAACCCAAAGTCCTCAATATAATTTATTGGCTTTCCAAAATGAAATTCAGAATACGTCCAATGCCCTTAATTATGTAAAAAAAGCATATATAGCAAAAGCTGCAAAACATAACATTGTATGCATATATATCAATGTAAATTGCCAAGAATGTACCTAGCCAAGTACACACAGAACCACCACCGAAGCCAATGGTGAAACCTCTCATAGCCTGAGCCTTGCATGCCAAGAGTGTATTTGCTTCTTGACTTGTCAATTTCTCCTACTCATTTTCAACAATTTTTGAAATTGGAAGCACTAATGAGAAACCAACTAAAAAACCATTCAAAACATTTATTATTCTATTGTGCTATATATACATCACAACTTACAAATTGGTGTACATACACATGATGTGGTGAGATATGATTGGATAAAAATTTCTTTAACCAAATAAAAAAAAAAACTTTCGTCGCTCTTTTTTGACACCTCAACTACCCGTAAAACTTTCTATAACTACTTATGTATAAGTAGAAGTAGAATTATTCTTTAGTATCAGTCTATATGGTAAATGTAGCTCCAATTAACAATGTAATTTATATTTTTTTCCGCTATGCCTAAGCGGAAAAAATCAACTTTTGCGTAATTTACTTGTCAATTTTCCCTACCTATTTATAATATTATTTTCAAAAATTAACAATTATAAAGGAAATAAAAGCTAAAATAACAAAAACCATTGAAAGATGCAATTATCAGCCAAACAGAAAAATGCAGCTTTAATTATCAAAAAGTTCACATTTTCAGCAATTTTTAAGCGGAAATATAAGCTTATTTTGTATAAATAAATGCTCGATTAAACGAGAGAACCGAAAATACCTGTCTGGATCGGAGAATTTTTTCAAGATCATATAGAGCTTCGCCCATTTTCCAACTCGAGATCGATTTTCGGATATCGCCCAACTGTGGATGTGGGTTTAAAAGATATTAATAATTTCTCATTGGAATTGGAACTGGGTCCTATTCAATTCAAAATATAGCAAGTGCGTCTTGAATTTACATTTTTCGGACAGACATAGTCCTTGATCTTTCAATTTTGAAACAACCTATCCCAAAATTGTCTTTATATGAAACATTGCAAAATTGCTTCGAAATAAAAGTTTAGTGCTTGTTTTGTCGTGCTTATAGAAGCACTGAGTTCAATGAAATGCATAGATAATAAGTGTGTAATAAGTTATACATCATGCTGACAAAATGTATGTTTAATCAACTTAAATTTTGTCCGACATATTCTTACACTTCATCTTCTTCGAGAAAGACAACATTTCATACTCTGGTTATGCGGAAAGGACCTTCTAAACAACTTTCACAGACATGAAATTATGTTACCATCATCAATGCCGAACTTGAGATTTTTGGGCCTTGGAACAAACTTCATAAATTGGGCCCCAATACAGTATGCATTCAATTTTTATTTTTATTTTTTTGTGTATCCATGAGAGTTTTATCACACTAATGTTGACTTAAACTCAATAATAAAATAACTGTAGGAAATATTACACCTATAATGTGCATATTATATTCATCAAGAACATACCGTGAAATCGAGATATCATTCGATTTACCGAAATCTGATTTGAGAAAACAAAATAGTGATTACCGACTT